GATTAATTTTTTTAATCGAGTCCCGGCCCTAGTAAATATCTATAATAACAGGTGCATTAAAAAAAACGAATGTTATAAAGGAATATAAGATAATAAAAGATGTTCAGATGTTTAAATCACTTGCCTGCAGCAGCCATGATGAGCAGAATAACTACGTCCATCTCTGTACGCTCTCTGTTTGGTCTAATGTGTAGATTTACATTGCACATGTTGAAATAGCAAATGAGGTTGCACATACTGTAAATGTCCTTTGATGCGGGTATCATTTGACTTCATGCAAATTTGTCAGAGGCACTTTCCCTTTGAATTTCAGGCAGATTATTGTTTATGAATGCACCTCTGTTTTCTTTAGCTCAGTTAAACGCGGGTTGTGGTAATGTGCAAATGTGTTCCTGTCTGATGGCGATTCCAAACGTGCAGTATTGCCTCCACGATGTTCGCTGCAACAGTTTTACCTCTGCTATGAGACTGACATTTCTGCTCCCTCTCCTCATCCATGAACTGCGAGTGTAGTGCAAATGAAACGGGACGTTTGATCTATTTGTGTGTCCTCACATTATGCTGATAGTCGAAGACCTTAAAGTAAAACAAGTAACAAGATAAATATGTGCTTAGTAACTGTAATGTAATTACTGCTGAACCAACAGTATCGCGTTAAATTACTGCGTTGGAGAATAATTTAATGTTAGATAATAATTGTATCTAATTACTGTAACGCGTGAGTAGTTGAAATACATGGGTTTTTGTCAAATTGGTATTTATGACCCGATAAGACAGTGATTTATGACCCCCATAAAACCCTTATTCCCGCCCCTAACCCTTTGATGTGACACCTGATGTCGTGACCTCTATGACCCTTGACCCTCTTATCTATTCTGACTTGTTTGTTTAGCTTAGTGTTTTATTGCCATTATAGTCAATGATGATGATAGTATGACTTGTTTGGGTCACCTTTTGTTGATGTAATGCCCTCTATAAGGTAATGTTCTTTAAGAGTGGGGTATAATACTTATTAACTCTTTTGTGGTAATATAAGGTTATATGACATTTAAGTATGTCTTTTGAAGTTGTATAGGTAGGTAATAATACTTTATAGACCCTTTTTAAAAAAACAACTAATTTCCCTTCTCCCCCTTCTTTTTTTCCTCCCACCCCTGCTGATCCGTGTGACTATTTCCCTGTCACGTGTCAGATCACCTCCCCCTTCTCTAACAGAAGAAGAATAGACATCTCTGAGGGATGTAACATCAAAGTGTTAGTGAAAATAATTTCTTTACAAGTCACAGTTTACCCCTTCACTCTTATCAATGTTTTTGAGATGACAGTGTCTCCCACACACAAAACCACACATGTTTTTCAATGCACACACAAATGTGTTCCGTTTCATATACATGTAAATAAAATCCAAATACAGAAAAAAGTTTTACATATGTATTGTTGATCCTCACATATTTGTTTTCCGTTTAAAACCGCTGAACCTGCAAACACAACCCGCTTTCTGTGCATGGATCGCTGTGCATTCGTGTGTGACTACCTTGACGGTCACCCGATTCGTACTTGTAAGTTCTTCTATCTATAGCCAATCAGATGTCTCCTCCATTCTAAGCCAATCATATGAGCGCGCCCCCACGAGTGTACGATTTTTTGCGTTAATGACGTAGCGCTTCATGTACGCATTTTCCTCTGTTCGGAGCTGACATGTCCATGGAGCCTGGTTATGGCTAGAAAGGATCCGTCTAGTGTAAATATGACGTCACGTTCTCGTTGTAACTCTCGTTGTAATCGGAGCGGCTCGGAAACACATCTACAGCAGTAACATGATGCAACATACACATTAATGCAGCAGCAATATTAATAGAGAAACATCAGACATAATAGTAAAACACTGCAAGGGAACATTTTATTGCACCAGGAGCTATCTTGGGACTTTTACTGCGACAACGTTGACTTGCCTGTGAATAAAAAATAAACCATAGTGTTGGTGATCTACAGTGTTGTCATTCTTCTTTGAACCCCAGCAAGACCGCTAACACCCTATTTCAACAAACACACTCCCTGTAATTGACATAATTAATAGATAGTTTAGCTTCTCATCATCAGTTGCTGTGGCCCACTGATGTTAACGAACTGAAAGGCTGCCTGCCAAACGTAAACATTCAGCCATGTGACATTCAGCCAAACTCTCGCGAGAGTTTTAAACAAGACGGATCCTTTCTAGCCATAACCCGCCTGCAGGTTAGGTTAGCTAGCCATAGCAAAAGGGCATAGCTGCTGGATACAAATTAATTGGGGTCATCTACACTCATCTAATTTTTGATAGCAACAGGTAGCTAACGTCAGCCACAAAATGTTGGCCAAGCTGTTATGGGCTACATTTATGATTCATACATTAACGTTAGTTGTAGATTATTGTGCGGTTACGTTTCTTGAAGCTCACGATTATATCTGTGAATTATCGGCCGTCCAAAAATTCAAAGGTTTCTAACACTGGGTGCGTAAAAGCCGAGTGTTCCATAACTAGTTGACGGAGGGTGGGTGGTCCGTCAGGCTACGTCCATCCCGACCCACCATTTAGTGGCGCTTGGTCAGACCAGTAACCACCCTTGTCTGGAAAAGTCATTCAACAAGTTTGTTTGTTATACAATCTGTACAGAAATGAAGATGGTGAGTTATTGTTATTGTGTTAAAGATATTAGTAGTGGAAGAGAAGTAAAGCGACGGTAAACTCTAATTGTCCAGTGAGAAATACAATCGGATCGCCCAATCGGACTGCACAACCGATCGATCGATCAATTGTAGTTGGCTCACCACGACACCAAACTTGATCGATTCGATGGGACCCATCTAGCTTCGGGTAATTCTCAAACCTCAAAGTAAATCCTAGGGGTAATCGACACGCGTACTGTTGGTGAACAGAAGGACCCCAGGTGTGGTTTGTATTTTGTAACGGGTTAAGCTGTTCTGAAAATGTCTTGTCATTTAATGGTTTATTTTTTGACGAAAGGTGAGTTATGTTATTCTAGGTAAAATGAAGTTCGTAGACTGAAAGTAATAAAAGGTAGTATGTATGGTGAGAAATACAAAGACTAAATTAAGTAAACCTATCTGATCATTGTAGTATTGACATACCAAACTTATCGATCCTCTCATTCTAGTTCGCCATGAATATAGGATAGACAACGTAAATTGTTTGACTACCGGTCGCGAAAGTTAGGAATTCCATGTTGATGGAAGCGTTCTACTTGTTATTTTCTACTCTTACTTAAGTATCAGGTTACTGAATCCTTCTATTAGATATTGACTATCGGGTAGAGGATGACACTTGATTATTGGACGTGTGACCACGCACACACATACAGAACAGACAGACACACACACACACAGACAAGACAACACACACACACACACCACAGACAGACACAACACACACACAACACACACACACACACACACACACACACACACACATCGGTCAGGTTGGTCCATCTTGTACCGTCTTTTTTCTTTTTTTAGTACATAAGACGTTGGGTCAAGTCACACAAGTATGCACATAACGAGAGGACACACTTACTACACCCACCATGTCACGTCTGAGTCCCTCCCTACCGTCTCTTCCTCTCTTTCTCTGTGTTCTCAAATGTCCATTAACCCTTTATAGTCCACAGTCGAAATTTCACATCTATTTGTATTGTTTCAATTCTGTGTTTATAAACCTATTATTAAGGGGGAGAGAGAGAAAGAAAGTCTCTCGTACTTTCTAACACACATACAGTTTGGTCAAGTCACATGAGTATTCACATAACGAGAGGAATTACATCTACTACACCACTGACACGTCTGAGTCCTCCTCCGTCTCCTTCACTCTTTCTCTGGGTTCTCAATGTCCATTACCTACTAGTCTGTCGAATTCAATTAACACTCCTATTGTAGGGATCAGTTTTTTACGATTATGCTTAGATATTGCAAAAACCTTTCCTTAGAAATCCTAGGTATCCTAAAACTCTGTCAAGACACGAGATATAACGTTTAACGTGCAATGTCCACAAGTAATTTATTTTTTAAGACGGTACCTCCCACCCAGCACGGACTGGTGAGGTTGGGTTGGGACACGGACGGTCAATGATAGAACGTGGGGTAAAGTTGATTATTGATCCGGCCGTGTCGTCGCGTGGTCGTCGACGGTCGAAGCTTGTCTGACTGTCCTTTTACAGGAGATGTCAGTACTTAGTCCTCAGTCTTTGCTTTCTTTTTTCAGTCGTTCTCCTTTTATTATTTTCTCCAGCTGTCGATAGGTGGTTCATAAAAGTGTTCTTTCCATAAATAAGTTGTCTTNTCCTCCTGTTCATACTAAACTCTACTAGATCCCCTAGTAGATCCTCCCTCCCTGACTCTCTGGACCCCCTGCAGTTTGCCTACAGAGCAAACAGGTCCACAGACGTGGACCTGTTTGCTCTGTAGGCAAACTGCAGGGGGTCCAGAGAGTCAGGGAGGGAGGATCTACTAGGGGATCTAGTAGAGTTTAGTATGAACAGGAGGAATTATTTCAGAAAGCAAAACCAGTTTCAATGCTCATATGGGCCCCAGAATATAGTTTTAAAACAGAAATAAAAAGGAACCCTTTCCTTCAGGTTTTTTTAATGAAACTTGTTGTTTCAAGTTCTGCAAAGCCATGATTAAATGTTTAATTAAGCAGTTTCAAAAGCTACATTGGTGTTTGATTCTTTTTATCTTTTTAAGATCATTTAGAGAGTTTGTAAGGGGGAAATAGAAGGTAAGAAACACATGAATGGTCTCTGGGTTGGATTCAAACCCGATTTCCCCGGATGGGATACGGGGTTGGATTAGGGGACTTAATGGGTAAAAGGTCCACATGCTGGATTCTGTCCTTCACAGCATGGTCAGAGCCCAAGTAGTTGGGCTACTAGCTCTGTCTAGTGAGCTATGCCACAGCTCAGTGTCTGATATTTTACAATACATGGAACTCTTGCTTTCAGCGAGCCTGGATCGGGCTGTATGATGACAGGGACAGCTGGAGGTGGTCAATGTCAAACTCAAGCTTCTACAATAACGAGGAGACGGTCTTCAGACCATGGAATTATCCAGAACCAAACAACTATTTGGGTATCGAACACTGCACAGTGAAGGCTTCCAATGGAAATTGGAATGATGAGAAATGTGCAGTACCCCATAAGGCAGTCTGCATGGATGTCAAAGGTAGGAATGATTAGACCTGGGGGGGGCAGAGCCTTTTCCATCGCTGCTCTTGAACTCCCTCCCCAAATATATTACAAATTAGTGAATCACTCTTTTTTTTCGAAGCTAACTTTGAAAGTGCTCTTTACATATAATGTATATGATCATTATTACTCTTATGGCGTCTCCACTCAGAGGTTCACTGTGCTCCATTTTCAGGGCAGAATGTGACATTTGTCTTTGTCAACAACCTCATGAACTGGGCTGAGGCCCAGAGCTACTGCAGAGCAAGCTACACTGACCTGGCCAGTGTGAGGAACATGGCAGAGAACCAGCAGGTACAAAACCTGGTCCCTGCTGGAGGTATCGTCTGGATTGGCCTTTACAGAGACTCCTGGAAGTGGTCCGATGGAAGGAAATACTCCTTTAGTCACTGGTCAGCATCTGAACCCAACAACATAGATGGCAATGAGCTGTGTGTGGTTGCACACTTCAACAACTCTGGAAGATGGGAGGACTGCGGATGTGAAGATAAGAGACCCTTCATTTGCTACAAACTCCTAAAGGGTAACCCGTGACTCATATAGTACAGATAAAGGTTTATGTTAACATCAAATGTGCAAACATCATTTTACAAAAACAAGTTATGAACATTCCGGACAAAAACATTTAAAAGTCATGATGTTATTGAGTGGTGTGTTCTTATGGATATTATTGAAAAAGAGATTCTGCAGGAAAAAACATGCTCAGAAAGAAGCAACAGTAAATGTTTTGACTGATGCATTTTTCTTTTCTTTTTTTAAAGTTGTTTCAAAGCAAGTGATCAAAGTGAGGTTGCAGTACACAGGCTCCAATCTGAATCTGAGCGACGAGGCTGTGCAGAATGACATGTTGGTGAAGGTAAAACATTTGTTCAAGTTACAGTTACTTTTAAACCAGATGAAACAATATTGATCTCAAGATGAATATATATAAAATATGTATATACCTATATTTACACAATCAAAAGACACATTTATACATATGCACTAGGGGAGGGAATCACCAGGCTCCCCAGGATTTGATACTATCGCAATACTTAAGCCACAATACCATAGTATTGCGATTCTACGATATGCTAAGTATTGCGATACGGTATATTGCGATATTGCAAATCACATGATTCATATCCATGTCCGTCTTCCTTTCCTGGTTAAAATATGTATTTGCAATATGAATAGTTTATGTAAATGTGTTATGATTTGTAACCATCTTTCGGAGGGATATGCTACAGTTTATATAAAAAAAAAATGTAAAAAAAGTTTATATAATAAAATATCGATACTTGGTATCCGTATATAATATCGCCACGCAGAGTATCGCGACACTATGCTGTATGGATTATTTCCCCCATCCCTAATATGCACACATTAAGACATAATAAAAGCACAACAATCAATATATACAAAATAGCAGTCACTTCAATATCTTTGAGAAATGTACAGTAGTGCAAGACTGTCCATAGCAGCGTAAAAAAGTGTCTGGTGCTGGATTTGAGTGTCTGAGTGTGTGTGGGGTGTTAACGTCCAGGTCCAGTGGGGGCACGGGGGAGAGTTGCAGGGCTTTTTGCTTATATAGCTTGCCCCGCCTCCGATCTCCAGTTCTCGGCTTAGCCAAATGAATGGAGAGAAAAAAAACTCTGGATTCAGACTTTTCGCACATTTTTACAACTTTTAGACTCTAATGATGTTATGGAAAGTGTAGTAGCACCGTTTGGCCACTATAGACAATCCAAAAATCGGATTCAACGGCCAGCGCACTTCCTGGGGGCTTGTCGAGTAACTGATCTCATGGTCTCCTTAAGTCTTGAGAATGAACAATGGTTCCAAAATACACAACAGTGTACGCAATATTTGTACCGAAGAGAAGTTCATAGAGTGTGTGGTTCATGCAGATGTGCTTAAATCGTTACAACTAGATATAAATACTGTATCAGCTACACTATATCAACTATAAATAAATAATCTCTTTCTCTGCGTGATAATGATGGAGTATTTTTAATCTCAGATCAAACAGCAGATGAAGAAGACCCAGGGATTGGATGACAACATCCAGCTGAGCTGGAGGAAGCAGCCGGATGGAAAGATCTTCCACAAGGAGCAGAAGGATGAGCTTTAGTGTTGAACTGCTGTGTCGGTTTTCATCAGGGAAAATTGTGCTTCTTTTATCAAAGTCCTCAACAGAATATAGCTTCAACATTACCTGATTGATCCATTAGTTGTAACTATTTTCATTGAAGATTTTATGCTTTTCCTTGTTTTATATCTTGACCTGAAGTTAATATCTTTGAGCTTTAGACTGTTGAAATGATATGCTTGGTATTTCGGAAATAATGACAAGCATTATCCACTAATTTCTGACATTTTTAGATCGATAGATGAGATAAAATATCTAAAGAAATTATAACATAACAGTGTGAAATCATTTGCAGGGCTGTGTGTAGTTCCACTCGCATGTGTTTGTGCCCCTTATGTTGTGAAGAATCTTGTCGTAAAGAGTAGGCTAAATGTTGTTGAGGCCTTCATATAGGTTGAATAATTATAATCAAATATAATCAAATATATTCTCGTATAACCCACAATAAAAATTCTGTATATTTTATGTTGTTCTATATACTGTATAATCACATACAAAATACAAGTGGTTTGTTAGATGAGTTTAGAAGCCTATTATAGTTTATGGGTGTCACTGATAAAAGAGGGGAGACAGTTTCTTCTCTCACAGCTGTGTACAGGGGGGAGGGGGGGGGGTACTGAAGCCCCAAAATGTGTTTAGGCCATAGCCTAGTCTAGGAGAATATGTCCAGTCCTGCACACCAGAGGTCATGACTTTTCCCCACATATAGGATGAACCTATATGTTCATAAAATAGTGTGTGTGAGCTTCACTGTGTGTATTAAACTAAAATGGAGCATTTTCTGTCGGCTCAGGGGCCTCATTTATAAACATGGCGTACGCTCAATAGATGGCCGACGCCAACATTTATTTCCGTTGACACAGAGATACGTGTCAACAAAATGCCATACATCTAAATATTACCTCTCATCTATCATATATGAAGAATTGATAAAAGCCTGTTTTAAAATGATTAATACCTAGATTGGATCACACAGGTTTAAATGGCTTAATGGCAAAAAGTAACAATGAAAACTGGAGTTGAGAAAAAAGTCAAAGTTTTTGATATGCACTGTATTGCATTGTAAAATCACAGTTGGCTGGAAGGGAAGATATGAAAAGGCCTTAGAAGCTGAGATGTCATTGTTTAGATCAGGGGTGTCCAAACTAAAAGTACTGACTTAAGTATGATAAACTTCTTCTTGTCTTATATTGTGCTTCTTAAATATATATGTTCAAATATATTCAACAGTATTCGTGTGTTAATAGCCCAATTTTCAAATAAATTCAGTCAATTAAAGTTGAAAACATATTCTAACAAATTTAAGTTGATAAGAAAAAAAGCCCAATAACAAATTCACATAACAGGCTTGAAATATACCCTTCATATTTCCTCTCATTATAAGTCATCTGAAGCTTCTGTTTTAACCCTGTAAAGCCCAAATATAGAAAAACATTAGAATTTATTTTTTTGACCTTTCAGATGTTGTTGTAGGGAGCCTCTGGAGCAGAAATGAGAGTTTTCACATTTTGGTAAGTTTTTAGGGAAATGTTGTAATATTGCAACGTTGGGCTTACTGTAGGTGGGAACAGAATTCCTGTATTTCTACTCACATTGTCTGAATAAATATATTGAACAACTAAGGGTTGATTTGCAGGATTGATTGCTTACTTGCTTATATCAGTATACCATAACAATTATGCTTCTGTCCCCCCCCCCCCCCCCCTAGCATGAATAATAATCACACATCAGTCATATTTTTTATGAATAGTCATTTATTAAATATGAATATGGTAGTCCCAAAAAACAGTTCCTATCGTCAGAAAAGCAGAGACGGACGTCACATTTGGTGCATTGTGTGTTTGTGTACCCTTTACTGCAGTGTCTGCAGCGTCCTCTCTTTGTCTTCACTGGAAAATGTGCCATTAGGTCCTTGCGTACATCCAGTGGTGGCTGTGATCTCTTGGATGGGGCCCCGTTTGGTGGACTCCCATCACCTGAGGATGGTCTCTTCTGAGCATTCAACGGGCTCCTTGATGTCACCGTCGGTGCTAGGCTGGCGTTGATCACAGCAAGAATGATGGTGCGCCAGAAGATACACGTACCAGCGTCGGGACTTCATGGGTCTGGTCCAGCAAAGGAGGACACAAGTGTGACCACTCTGCTGTCATACCATTTGACAGCACATGTTGTGGTTGGCCTCCACTCGGATGTCAAAGCTTTGTCTCCCTTTTTTCTTCAAGCTCTTCTCCTCTTCAAGGTTACAGTTGGGTAAGCGCACCTGCCTGGCTGTTCCCACATAATGAATCCCACGATCAAGGAGCTTCACTAGACCAATGGGGACACAATTTTGTTTGCCGATAGATCTTGTAGTTCTGACCCTTCTGGCAGCGTGGAGGCAAGCTTCATCACAACATTCACTGACAATCCAAGTTCCCATCGACACCCTGTGCACTTGCGAGGGCAGCAAAATCACAGATCGATTCAGAGATTCCAGTTCTCACCGCACTTCTCCGTT